ACTTTGGATGACCTACTATGGTTGACCAGAGTCAGGGAATCATGTGTTTATCATTGTGTGATACTTGCATGAATGGGAATGAGGATGCAATATATTCACAGTCTGTTAATTGTTTCAAAGGTCAGTCATGATATTAGGTGGACCATATAAATATGCCTTGGGATTTGATGTGAGTTCTGGAAATAGTTAAAAAATCCTTTCATGGTCTGACAACAGCGTTACTTGTTTCTTGAACCTGGTAATTGTGTCAAGGTTACTGATAGAAATTAGTAGTTTACTTCTGCTGTGTCCTCTGTAATTGCTCTCGTTTTGAGACTATGGTAAACTCATAATAGTTCAAGCATGTCACACTGACATGTTTACGTTCATGCGTAACAAAAACCTACGAATCAGGGTGTGTTCGCTCAAAGGTCCGAATGGAGAAGACCTCAACAACCTAGAAATGGCTGAGATCTTCAACACTAACTTTACTGTGCAGTTAAACCAGGCATCCATATGTTCAGATTACTACGCAAACCCAGTTCCAGCTGACAGCTAAGGGGATATCCGTATCACTCCTGATATAGTACTAAGGGAACTAAAATCCTTAGGCTCAGGAAAGCTACCAGGTTGTGACAATATTCCACCCATGATCTTGAAACAATGTGTAGAAGCCCTCTGTTCACCGATGTGTGACCTGTTCAGGAATTCACTGGATTCACATCAACTCTCAGATGAATGAAAACAAGCTACTCTCTATCCAATCTTCAAAGGAGGATATGGGAAGGACCCAGTCTGTTACAGAGCAGTCGCATTATTACCAATACTATCAAAGGTAATGGAATGGCTGGTGAACAAACAAGTGATGGAGTACATGGATAAAAATAAAATACTCCATGACGCTCAACATGGGTTTTGGAAAGGCAGGTCGTGAGCATCCAATGTTCTCATAGCATGGGATAGCTGGACATCCTGATTGGACCAAAAAATACTGGTGCACGTAATAATTTTCGACTTTGCAAAGGCCTTCGACACAGAACCCCACGCACGCATAATTGCAAAGGTTGCTGAAATGTGCTCCACTCCTATCTTGGCTCACAAAACGCCTTGAGAATAGAAAGTTTCGTACCAAGGTAAATAGAGTGAGCTTCAAAATGACCTTACATCCATTGAGGAATGGGCAGTGATAAACGGTGTTAAACTCAGCCAACCGAAGTTTCACGTCTTGTATATTCTGCCCCACATGACGCAAACCACTTACATCCTCGATAGAAGTCCGCTCCCTAATGTCTCCTCAGAGCTCGATCTCGGTTTCATAACTACAGAATGCCCAAACTGTATAGGGGACGCAGCCAAGGCAAGTGAGACTTTGCACTTTATGCGACGGCAAATCGGTGATATCACCTCACAATTATTACTAACGCTATTTAACACATATGCGCGCCCACACCTTGAGGTTCAAAACTCTCCTTGAAGGAGACATAAATCTCTTGGGTCAAGTGCAGAGACGAGCAACGAAACGGGTGATAGGGTTGAAAAATAAGCCATACAAAGATAGACTCCAGCATTTGGGATTATTCTCCCTGAGAATCAGAGGTGATCTGATTATGGCGTGCAACACATTAATCACGCCAAACCATCCCACCGTGAGCATCTTACTGATGCTCACTTCCCTAGAGGGAATCCTCAAAAATTGAACACCAAAGAGCGAGTATTCAGGTTCTTGCACGCTTCATTCAGAGTCCTTGCAACTTGGATTACTCTCTCAGCCGAGGTGATCATAGCCTCCTCAGTGGACAGCTTTAAGAAGAGGCTCGATAAATACTTACTCGCAAACGAATTATTATCTTCCTCTTCGATAAGCTGTTCATGATGCATATCTTGTGACCTGCTAGTTGTTATTATTGCCATTTCCTCGGATCACTAACTTAATCTATCTCGCCTATTATCTCTGTTTACTCTCCCTTGCTTGCACTTCGGTTCTCTTTCACAACCTTCACTACCAATTAATAAACTAAATTACCTATTTATTTAGTTCTGAAATCCTCTTCTTATTAGCTTTAGTATGTTCCTCTTAATATTCTCCGCATTGCAACTAACTGATCTCTGTTCTGGTAATATGATAGCTGTTGGCATTCAGAAACCCTACTGTCCTGAAACAAATGTTTTCATTGAAACCACGGGACCAACAAACTCAAAAACTACTGACTGGAATTAGACAGTCGAGTGGCTAGACACCAAACACCTGTAACCATCCTGAGAAAAAAAGAATCGAGCGAAAAGAAATCAATAGGTATATACCATCTCGTGGAAAAGATATTAAGTGTCAGAACATAAAAATGGCTAACTAATAAATATTTTTTCCTGAAGACACATACGCTATTCCCAATAATTGTTTTACAAACCTTTAGAATGGTCAGGTTCATTGTCTGTGCAAGGTGTTTTGAAGTTTGAATGTTTCGGAGTCTGAAACACTATTTTAATCGCGGTGAATTCAGGAATGACGGTAAGTTACCTTGAAAGTTGCAACTCATTTTATTTATTAGGAGTTCTCTGTTTACCATGGAGATCAAAAAGGTAAGTGGAATAAAATTAGTTGTAGAATTGTTTCCCTCAAAAAGGTCACCAGTTTCCACCCAATAATCGCTATGAACAGTTCCTCAGTGTATGGAAGACAATATTTTCGCGCGTTGAAGTATTCAAGTTATTTATTTAACATTAATCGATACAGAATCAGCTTAGATTTCTCACTACAAACGTGTTTACTGAAGTTTTCAATTTTATAGAAGATTCACACACTTCTTGGCTTTCATTGCACAACTTGATAACAAATAACTTTGTCAGTTTAGATCAAATCCCCACAGCTCTCCTGTTGGCTGGTGTCAATACTCCTGATCATTCGGTTATTTATGGCCACCTCCAAAATTTGATTTTACAGTCTGGTGGGCATGTAGCTGTTATCAGTCCTGGTGCTAATACAACTAGTGTTCGTAGTCTTGTATCCCTCGTAGTACAGCAATTATCTGACGATTCTTGTCAACAAAGTAAATGGTTTAGGAATAATGAAGATTGTGATGATAAAAAACGTAGTAACACCGGTCAAGACGCTAAAGAATCCAAAAATATTTTAATGGCAAGTAATCCTAATATTTTTTCCGAATTAGTGTTCTAGTATTTATCACGTTATTCAGCCATAAAAACAAATTTTAGTTGTAAAAAGTCTGTTTTCTTGGTTAAATCTGATAGTGTTCACATAATTGTTTGAAACTACTAAAATTATTTTGCCCGTCAGTTATCGTCAATGTAGACCCTGATACAAGTGTACTATACTCTCACTTACCACACTAAAACATGGCATAAATCCATGAAGTCACTGACAAGTGGGTTGAACCTTGTTGGTAGGTGTAGACTACCTGATTGGGGTTCGTGAGACAATAGTAACTGATGGTTAGAGACTTAAAATGACATGGTTCAAAATCGTTTGTAATGGCGCAGGTGCATCAATTCGTTGTGTTCTCTCGTAACCTCATGAGTTCAGGACCATTTCTTGTCTCTTTAGACTTCTCTGGATTATACTTATTGAGTGATATCTTCGAAATCTAATCTTCTCTATAACCGCTAATACGTCTGCTATCTGTACTACTATGGGATTTGAATTGATAATTGCATCCTTGTGTACTAATGTGGTATAGAAACTTGAACTGATGTGTGTACGTACGAAATTCTACGTTGCAAATGACTGACTGACTGATGACCAAAGAGATTAAAATAATTTTGTAGCAGTTATAATGTGAAAAGCAAGATTGTGAATATGGTTCAAAAAGAAAATGGGAAGGCATATGTGAAGGAATATGAAAAGACATAGAATGAACGTACTTGCGCGGTTGTCAATAGTTCTGAACCATATTTTCTATCGATTTCAGCGATTAAGGACGACTTTCTCTTAAACCAGAATCCGTCTGTATTTGCTAACACTAATCAGACCAACCGTTAGTAACTTCACAGACTGATTCCATGTCTTGGTTTGGCTTCACCTAGCTTTATTCCAACCTACTTCTAGACCAGTAGACATCGTCCGTTGAGGTAGACGATGACTGAATACACGTAACACGTAATAACCACCTCATTTGATGGGGATTCATAACCTTGTTAACTTCATTCTCATCATGATATGGTACTCCATGCCCATCATGGCTTTTAAGGCTCCCAAGATATGTGAATGATCAACTCACTCAATTTCGCTGTCTATCAGTGGTTCAAAAGTTGGATTAACATTTTATGTTCAGAGAAAATAACATTTCTGTGACATCCCTAATTTGTTTCTGAACGTTATCATAAGACTGCATTTTATGAATGTCTTCAAATCAAATTGTTTTACTTACATATTCCTGGTCGATAATTGATTTTTATATTGTCAACTTTCGTTTTAATCTGCTTTTATTATGTATGTACTGGTTTTAGTACATTTAAGTCTCCCCTATCCCGAGATCATATTTTAACTGAAAAGAGGATTATATAACAATATGAGTGATCCAGGCATCAATTATTTACCAAACATTGGTACAAACGGGCACCTAAATATTTGTGCGGCGCACCAATTAATGAATTTGTGAGTGGATTGGGACACTGCCTGGATGCCAAAACCGAACCTGGAAGTCTTCCTGAGGAGTCACACCTCGAGTCTTTGACTCAAAAGTCTAATCCACGAGGCAATGGATCAACGTTAGGAGATCCAGTCCCATGGTACCCGCTCATTAACAATAAGTTCATTCGTCACTTGTTCTCCCAGGTGCCTAGGGCGAATGTTGGTTTGGAATAAGGGTTTTCTAACTTCTTTAGATAGATCCTCCATATACACTAACCCGGCTAAAGTAGTGGACATTCGCTTTTGGTCCTCTCGATTCGGTAAACAGTACATGAGTAGGAATTCCCTGTCACTGGCTATATACGCATAGCCATATGAGAGTATTTTAAAACGAAGAATAACCTCTTTCCATTCTCGGCCGTACCATGGTATTTAGGGACATCATCTAAGTTGTAGACATTCCTTTTCAATATGGATGCAAAATAGGATTGATACTTGTGCAATCCATCCAGCAGATCCAAGTTTATATTATCAGACAGACAGGTACAACGCAGAACTTCGTACATAAGTACATCATTCCAGGCTGAGTATTAGCTCCACTCTTAAAAGCCCTTAGTGGGCACCCTTACCGCCGAAGACGGGAGTCCGTGAGGTAGGGTGAGGTCTGGCATTTTTAGGGTCGACCTTTTCTAATCCTTCCTTCCTTGTGAGAAGATAGCATCACTGCAGATGCTGGTTGTCCGACGGAAACACCTTACTGCTGTCACACCCCTCCGCAGTCAGCAGTACGACTTCGACCTCAGACCCTGAGTAGCTCACTCTTCGGTTACCCACGATCTCCAGTCATCCTGAATGGCAAATCGACGTAAGTCCCCCTAGTCTTAATGAAGTTGAAAAAGCGTTAGGAAATCTGAAGCGAGGACGAGCTGCAGGTCCTGATAGACTGATCCCTGAGTTATTTAAGGATGGTGGTCCAGTTTTATCAGCTAGGTTGACTGAGATCTTAGGTACAATCTGGGAACTGGACGTAACCCCATCTGACTGGTCTCAATCACTGATTGTACCAATCTATAAGAAAGGACAGAAGTCTTCTTGTGACAATCACAGAGGAATAAGTCTAACTAATATGGTATCTAAAATATTGGCCTCAGTAATACTTCGACGCTTAACGAAAGTTCGTGAAGAGCAGACTCGAGAAAACCAGTCTGGTTTTCGACCTGGACGTGGCTGTATAGACCACGTCTTCACACTACGACAGGTCCTAGAACACAGACACACATTTAGGCGTCCTACAATAGTTGTTTTCCTGGACCTTAAGGCGGCATTTGACTCTGTGGATCGTGAGGTTCTGTGGCAGTGTCTGTCATTGAAAGGTGTACCAAATAAGTACATTAACCTCATACAAGCTCTCTACTCAAACACCACTGGTCGAATGAGAGCTTATGGCGAACTGTCAATGGAATTCTCTACTTCAAGTGGTGTCCGTCAGGGATGTCCACTTTCTCCATTCTTGTTTAATTTTATCATAGACATGCTCCTAGAAATAACCTTATCCTCGTCTGAATTTTCAGGAGTAGACCTTTTACCGGGTGGCTCGCTTATTGACTTAGAATATGCCGATGACATAGTCCTACTTGGTGAAGACGCTGACAAAATGCAGAGTCTTCTGACTACCCTAAGCAACAATGCAAGCATGTTCGGGATGCGGTTTTCCCTCTCGAAATGCAAAATGTTGCTTCAAGATTGGGTTTCATCGGCACCTGAACTAGTGATAGGGAGTGAAGTGGTCGAACATGTAGACTGCTTCACTTATCTTGGGAGTCTCATCAGTGCTGATGGCCTTGTGACTGACGAAATCTCGGCACGGATACAGAAGGCTCGATTGGCTTTTGCCAACCTGCGTCACTTATGGCGTAGGCGAGATATCCGTTTGCTGACTAAAGGACGAGTGTACTGCGCAGTGGTTCGCTCCGTCTTACTTTATGGCTGTGAAACATGGCCAATGAGAGTAGAAGATACTCGTCGGTTATTGGTTTTCGATCATAGGTGTCTTCGAAGCATTGCTCGTATATCGTGGGACACCCGAGTGAGCAACGCTGTTATTAGGAAACGGGTACTATGTAAGAATGGCAGATCAATCGATGAAGTAATGAAACTTCATCAGTTGAGGTGGTTGGGACACGTGATGCGTATGCCTAACCACCGACTGCCTCGTCGAGCTTTGTTTTGTGGTGTAGGAATAGGTTGGAAGAAAGCTAGGGGCGGCCAGACCAAAACATGGGATAAATCGATGAAGTCATTGACGAGTGGACTTAGCCATGTCGGTAATTGTCGACTACCTGGTTGGGGTCGTCGAGATGATAATAATCGATGGCTAGAGACGTCGAATGACATGGCTCAAAATCGTTCGCAATGGCGCCAGTGCATTTATTCTTTGTGTTCTCCCAAATCCTAATCTTCTGTATTATTTAACACCCCTAGCTTTTACTTTCTAATTTTATCTCATTGAATCATACTTCTTGAATAATATCTTCTAATTCTAACCTCTCCGATTACTTCTAATACCTTTACTACCTCTTCTACTATTGGATTTGAATTGACAATGGCGTCTCTGTGCTGATGTGGTATGGCAACATGAACTGATGTACTTACGTACGAAGTTCTACGTTGCAACTGACTGACTGACTGACCCTGAGTAGCTGCTGCTTTTAGTCTGATCGTTCTCCAATCGACCTGCCTGGCATGGTCGAACCTTGAGGAACTGTTAGTGGGACATAGATGGATTTAAAGCATGATTACGTCACTACGCGCTGATCGGCTAATTTCCTATCCAATCAGCGCCTGGTCGAAGCTTGGAGAACAGGATAGAAAATTCTCGTATTATTAGCTGCATGCTGGTTGGTCAAATCCAGTCCAGTCGATCACGTGAATTTTCTTACAGAAGCTTTCTCGGGTAAAAGGCTATAAATAGACTAGCATTGTATTTATTCTTGCCTTCTTTGCCTTGGCTTTCGCCATCACCTCCAGCTTCTTTTCCTTGCTATTTTGGAATACAATCCTTCCTGTTCAACCGTGCTCTGATTTGGGTTATTTGTCCAGTGTTTTGTGTCAAGAATACTAAGCAATAAGATTTAGCCGGGAATTATCTTAAGCAACCGTTACAACAGGAACATATGTTCCAGCCAATATAGCTCGGTTGGGTCATCACGATAGGCAAGCCCGACCACCACGTCAAGGTAGCAGCTACGGTCAGGAGTTTATATTAGCAGTGTAATATGATTTGGTCATCCAAAAATCGAATTGTATGCCAATTTTTGACATTCACCATCTCTCGATCTTGAGGAACCTGGTACATCTCGTGAAATTTGGATCGTCCTCTTTTCAAGACTAAATACATCTTTTCATAGGATGTCAACTAAAAATAAATCTCTACCAAGAGTCCCCTACCGACTGTCTTCAAACATCCGATAGCAAAACAAAGTTCACATCATGCAAAGTTACTTAAACTGGTGGCCACATTGTGACCTGATTGGGAGAACTCAATCAACATCATAAACTAAACAAATATGAAATTAATTCAGTCAGTCGGTCAGTTACAATGTAGAACTTCGTACATGAGTACATAAGTTCAGTTTGCCATACCGCATCAACACAGAGACGCAACTGTCAGTTCAAACTCAACAGCACTAGCAATAGTAGAAGTATTAGCAGTAATGGAGGAGATTAGCGTTCGAAGATATGAAATTATTTACTATTCAGTTATCAACTGATGTGTATTTTCGAGCCCTACATAAAGTAGCTTGGAGGTACAAACACCTCGGCGGAAACGTCACAGACTGTGGAGCTGGGTTATGTGGACCTGAACTCCGTAATGAGCATCAGGTTCCTCAAGATTGGAGTAGGGCAATAGTGCGGAATAACTGTATGAAATTCAAAAATTCTCTCAAGATCCCAGGTATGTCTTGGTGGCGAGTACCAATCAATATGAGATACCCAGCTTCAGGGTTTCTAGTTGTCTACTTCCCAACTACTTGACATCATAGTCCGCACTCTATTAGTCAAATATCAAGTGCTATTATTATTATCAATAATCAAAGTATAAGAGTTATTGTAGTGGACGAGAACACAGGTGGGGCAACCGAATTGTATTTAACGAAAATTACAGAGTTACTCAGTAAAATCGGAACACCATATCGTAAATCGTTCATTTGCAAAATATCAGTTCATCATATCAAACTGGACTGTTCCTGTTGCACAACATCAATCCATTGTCACTATTCATGCGTTTGTTTCATACAAATTCCATTGTTTTCTAACTCTTCCTTTCTTGATCTTCCCCCCCATCTTCTGCTGCCAGACATTACGTTGACACACGTCATATACTACTTATAAGTATCTCGCACCACATTATGAGCTATAAATTCAAATATATATATTGCCATTTAATACTTACTTCTTATGAAATTGTTTCCATTTTTTTTCAATTGTGCATAGAAAAATTTTACTCCAGCTACACGTTTCTCATATTTGGCTTTACTAGAATGGTATTATTATTCTGGAGTAAGTGAATCAACGCCGGTGTACATCCGGATATCAATAAGTATTTACAATTTTATAATAGTTGATAAATGAACATAATTTTTGTATTGAGCAGTTGATTTTCATTGTTTTCGTTTATATTTCCGTTTTGTTTTGTTTTTTTAGTGACAGATAAATAGGCAGACAGATACAACGCAGAACTTCGTACATAAGTACATCAGTTCAGGTTGCCATACCACCACATCAGCACAGAGACGCAACTGTCAGTTCAAATCCAAGAGTGATAGCGATAGTAGAAGTATTAGCATTAATGGAGAAGATTAGGTAGCGGAGATATGATTCGAGAAGTATAATTCAGTGAGATAAATTTAGAAGGAAAAAGATAGCGATGATGAGGAATTCAGGTTAGAAATAGCGAGAACACAGAGAGTGGATGTACTTGCGCCATTGCAAATGATTCTGAGCCATGTCGTTCAAGGTCTCTAACCATTGGTGAATTTCGTCTCGCGGGCCCCAACCAGATAGTCGACACCTGCCGACATGACTCAGTCCCCTTTTCAGTGACTTCATGGATTTGTGCCATGTTTTGGTCTGGCCGCCCCTAGCTTTCTTCCAACCTACTCCTACTCCACAAAACATAGCTCGTTGAGGCTGTCGGTGGTTATGCATACGTAACACATGTCCAAACCACCTCAACTGATGACAGTTTTATGTTTTCTAAGGGAAATTTTATCCATTAGCATAGACAGTTGTGACCCGAATAGCTTATTAGTGTAATATTGTTGGCTGTAAAATTTGTCTATATGGATTTGTATCCCACAAGGAGCATCAGTTCTTTCAATTGGTAACTATAACATGAAACTTTGGGATGGCAAATCAATTGATGAAGTATTGTAACTATGTTTTGTGTGTAGGAGTAGATTGGAAGAAAGTTAGAGGCGGCCAAACCAAAACATGGCAAAAATCCGTGAAGTCACTGACAAGTGGACTGAGTCATGTTGGTAGATGTAGAGTACCTGGTTGGGGTCCGCAAGATGATAATAATCGATGGTTGGATACCCTGAATGACATGGCTCAAAATCGTTCGCAATGGCCCCGGTGCATTTATTCTTTGTGTTCTCTCAAATCCTAATCTTCTGGATTCTTCAACATTTCTAGTTTTGACTTTCTAAACTTTTCTCATTGAATCATACTTCTTGAATAATATCTTCTAATCCTAACCTCTCCGATTACCTCTAATACCTTTACTACCTCTTCTACTTTTGAATTTGAATTGACAATGGCGTCTCTGTGCTGATGTGGTATGGCGACATGAACTGATGTACTTACGTACGAAGTTCTACGTTGCATCTGACTAACTGACGTACTGACTGAGAGACCTTGAATAACATGGCTCAAAATCGTTTGCAATGGCGCAAGTGCATCCACTCTTTGTGTTCTATGAAATTCTAACCTTCTGAATTCCTCATCATCTCTATCTTTCTCTTTTTAAATTTATCTCATTGAATTATACTTCTCGAATCATATCTTCGCTCCCTAGTCTTCTCCATTACTGGTAATACTTCTACTATGGCTATCACTCTTGGATTTGAACTGATAGTCGCGTCTTTGTGCTAATGTGGTATAGCAATCTGAACTGATGTACGTACCTGTACGAAGTTCGACGTTGTAATTGACTAACTTAATTGTTCTCATTAGTAGTATTCCCTGTAAATATGTTTACATACAGTGAAATCTCCTAATCATTTCATTTATCTAGTGCAGTTTATCGATAGACTACAATGAAGTGTAAAGTTGGGTATAATTAAGATCTGATTGTGTCGTGTATCGTTTGAATTCTACAAAGAAAAATACCAAATCGAATAAATATCATATTAATAGTTATTCTGAAGAGAAGATGGATTAATGAAGTATTGTAAATAACAAGAATGCGCTATAAATTTCCATCTATGTTAAATGAATCATAAAGAATGTGTTAGGATATTCATCCAATATCCTTAGAGAATTATTGGTTAATTCCTATTGGGTAATTACTACTGGTCAATTTTATGGTCGTCCTAGATATCAATGTCACGTGCTCCATTGTTGTTTCTTATTGGTTGTCCTGACTATCAATGTCACTTCAAATGTTACTTCCGATTGGTCGTCTTAACTGTCAATGTCACAGACTTCGATGCTGTTTCCTATTCGACCAAAATGTATAAATACGGATTATCTGTAACGTTTTATGATTAGGACCTGGATCCCTAGCCCGGGATCCTGATTCTCCTGGATTCGGACTTCGTACTTTCTGGAGGCTTGTAGAATACAGGTTCTACTTCATATCAAGTCTTGTCTTCTTTCAATCAATATGGGGGTTGGGATAATCGGATTTGACTAGCATGTGTCACTGGATCCTCAATCCTCGCTCTCGTTTTCCGACTAGGTAAACTCATAATAGTTCAAGCATATCAAAATGACGTATTTACGTGCAGGCATAACAGGATGGTAAAGAGTGGTGACATACTTATGGAGTTTTATATAATGTAGGTTTGTACTTTTTCACATCAATTGACGTTAGTTTTTGACCAGTTAGTTATATACAGCGTACAACCTGACATGATTGTGTATTTGGTCGGATCGCAGTCATCATGTCAGTAGTAGTGGGAGATAAGATTGTAAATAGAAAAAAGTAGGTATACAGAAGTTTCAGGACTCCAATTCCAAAGGAAAACGATGTATGAGTTCAGAATCAGTTCACTGATTTGTAATTATTTATATTCGTAAATTTCTGGTTTCAATCAATCTTAAAGTTTTACAATATTCTCTTGTAGACGAGAAATTCTTCTAATCCTAACGTGACTGAATCCAATGTAGAATTTAAAACACCAGGTAAATTTTACTGGTCATTCGTTTTTATCATATTAATTCGTAAGAGATTATTCTTAGTTCATGACTAAAACTTCTTTGCTTTTTAGCACCACCGACTACACCTCGTCTCCGTTCACAACGTAGTGTCAGTCAACCAAGATCTCGTAGATCAAATCAACCTTGTTCCATGTCATCTGATTCACCTAGGTTGAGTACACCAACTAAAAGAAGTCAAAGACTTAGTCTACGTTCTAATGAAGTTAGTAATACTTTGAAACAAGAACCAGTCGACAATCTGTCAACATCTCCAGAATCAGCCATACATTCTGAATTAAAACAACATTCAACATTACTCAGACCTCTAGTTATTATTTTTACAGAGATTGAATCTGTTCCTGTACAAGTTCTGTGTGATTTTATCGAGTTAACTTCTCTATATGTGGCCGGTCAAGTTAGAGGTCGTTCATACTCATTGCCGATTAGTTTTGTTTTCGGTTTGTCTACAATCCCTGAGATTGGATTTGAACCACGTTTTAGTGCATCCATATTAAGTCGATTAACAATTCGACAATTTGCTGTTCCTTCACCGACAGCATTTTTAAATGTTGTGTTAAAAGAAGTAAGTTGATACAGTATTAGTATTCTTTCTCTATCTATCTCACTCAGATTACTATATATGTGTATAAAAAGTGATCATTCTTTTTAATTTTCATTTTAATATGAATATTTTATAAGTTGTGATGAAATTCAATCTTCCAATCTTGTGATATACCCGATTGTAGCTGCCACTTTGATGTGGTGGTTGGGCTTGCCTATCGTGATCAATCAATCGAGTCATATTGGCTGGAATATATATTCCTGTAGGTTCTGCTATGCCAGGCTGCTCGATTGGAGAACAGTTAACATTAAAAGCAGCAACTCAAGGTCTGAGGATGAAGTCGTAATGCTAATTATAGATAGGTGTGACAACAATAATATATTTCTCTCGGACAACCAGCATCTGCAGCGATGCTGCCATCTGACAACGGAAGAAAGGGTTTAGTAAATATTGACCGTAAAAAATGTTACACCTCACCTTACCTCACGGATTTCCATGTCCGGCGAAATGTCCTCTTGAGGAACGGAGCTAACACTTCAAAATATTCCAATAAAAAGGTTGTGCGTGACTGGCTTCAAGTAGTTGTCTCTTAAGCTCCACGGTCACGCTCCCAAGTCTCTAAGACCAACACTAGTCGAACTTTCTTTCCAGGTTCCTCAAGAAACATCCTGCCATGGTGTGGGCAACCGGAAAACGGCATCCACTCTCATACCCGTAATAACACACGAGATAGAGTTGGTAGCAATCAAATCCTTCCTTTACATCCTAACGTCTCTTTTATCTCCACGACTAGCTCTTCTCACATTCCATTATCACCCCGTACCGCTAATGCATACGATCCGAGTTCTCGAAACGTTCTTCCTGGTCTCCTGAAACCCCGTTCTTAACGACATGTTGGAGCTTTCAGTGTCCGGACATCATATCAAATAGGACAGCAAGCTCCCTCAGCTAGGACTTTAGAATCTCGCTCCATCGATGTTTGCTATGTCTCGGAAACGCGCATATAGAGTCTGAGTAGGGTTATTCATTTGACTTCACCATGTCAAAATAAAGAAGCGACTCGATTTACCCTTCGTGTATCTGGATGCACTGCTGCTGCTTTCCGAAGTCTCACTGGTGTAGGTATAGCACTGAGTCCTAGAGCAGAACTAGCTCTCTCAGACCGGATCCAGTAGATAGTCGATTGTGCGCTGTCCAAATCTTTCCTGGACCTTCAGTTCCAGTTCTCCTCAATTGGCGTTCATTCTTTTCATGTCTGTCTCCGATTCCCGGCGCAGTATTTTCCCTGGTCTACTTCTTTTCCATTGGCTTTGAAGGTTCCACGTTGGGACTCGTCTCGTGATGCAGCTGGGCTATTTCTTCAGTGTGTCTATTTACTTCCAGCGCTTTTCCAATGGGTTTCACTTATTCCAAGCGCCACCATCTTCTATCTTTTCATTTCCAGGGCTACATAAATGGTCTCCCACACTATGAAAACATTCCATGTGCCTATACCAACTGTTGCAGTGGTTGTTAAAATGGGAATGGGCCTTGTGACTTCCAATAAAACTTAGCTTTCACCATGGAGGAGGGTCATATCTCTTCTAAGTGAGGACATACAAACTGCTAGGGCTGAGTTTAAATGGTTTGAATTATTTATTCTGGTTATCGTTTTTTAGCAAGTTAGTTTTCTACCGAATGAGGTTACTAACTCCATGTCCAACCCCTCCTCTTTTATCCAAGTTCGGTACCGGCAGTAACCTTAGAAGGTCTCTAGGCGGCAACCTAGTCTAACGCAAACTTATGACAAGCTGTAAGTTGGTTGTGATTGATGACTGACTGACGCTTCCTACCCAATATTGAATTCGGTCAAGCTGATCGAGTAACACGTGACCAACCTTCGGAAAACTATCGTATATTGACGACCTTGATCAAACTATCAAGAAATACTGTCTGGTTATAAAACAATTACCAGCAGAAATCCGTAAAATATCAGTGAAATAATAGCTTTGATCTGATGAATAATCAACCCGTATGTGTCGAGTTATTCCTTCTAGTCGAGAGGAAAGCCTAAGTTCATTTCTAAAAGTCGGACTAGTGTCAGTCAGTCTGTTACAACGTAGAACTTCTTGCATTCGTACATCAGTTCCTTTTGCCATACCATATTAGCACAGAGACGCAACTGTCAGTTTAAATCTCGTAGTGTTAGAGATGAGTTAGGTAGGATTTTCACTCTACAGAGCTTTAGTCATTAACTAAGATCAAATTTAATATAGAAAGCTTACGGTCAGGTATTTACGTTTAAGCTAGAGTCCTGAGTTTGGTTTGTTCAAATTACGGTTAGAATTTTCATCACAAATTAACATCAGCTACGTTAAAATACTTTGTCAACCTTCTGTTTACAAACTCAAAAAACTTAAAATTTGGCATAAGTTTTAAATTAAGAGGAGGTTGTTTACTCTACCACACAATTTGCCTTGAGAGCTTTATGTTTGGTAATTTAGTCTAATCGCTATATTTTCGATTTCGTGATAGAAACTGCTGTTAAATTCAAGCATCTAAAAATACTAAACATTGCTCATTTTTACTTCACATTGAAATCATCAATGAATCATTGTTAGACCATTATTAGAAACCTGAAAGCACGAAACAGCCGTTTCATTCTGATATGGGACTCATCAAGAGTGCGTATCCACGACTCCTGCTACTCGCATGCTTCGAACCCTGCGACTACTGAGCCGGCATCCAACGGTGTTCATATCTAACTCTGATCAATCTGCCTCGTTAATAATAACATACAAATTCTCTATAACTAGACTGTAAATTTCATACAAACTACAGTAGGTGTTACTTCACTTCTAATTGGTTCACTTAAGGCCGACAGTATATAATTGTTTTACTATGATATCTAATTACTGACGTTGTCCAGTAGTTCAGGTGTAGACGGAAGCCTAATCCTGAAGCAACATCTTGCATTTCAAGGCAGATAATCGCATACCGAATATGCTTACATTGTTGCTTAAGTTGGTCAAAATACTCTGTATTTTGTCAGCGTCTTCACAAAACAGAACTATGTCATCGGTGTATTCTTCTAAGTCGACAAGCAAGTCTCCTGGTAGAAGGTCCACCCCTGAATAGGTTGACGAGGATAATGTTAACTCTAAAAGCATGTCTACGACAAAGTTAATCAGGAATGGAGAAAGTGGACAGCCCTGGCTAGCACCAGTTGAAGTAATCAATTCTGATAACAGTTCGCCATAAGCTGTAACTCGAACAGTAATGTTGTTGTCCAGTATGCGCTTCTCTACCTTAGTTAAAAGAATCATTCCATATGTAGTAGTAGTAGTGTAGTGAAGGAGAACACAGGTGGGGCAACTGCATTGTATTTAACGAAAATTACAGAGTTAATCAGTAAAATCGGAAAACCATATCGTAAATCGTAAATCAGTTCATCATATCGAACTGGACTGTTCCTGTTGCAAACAACATCAATCCATTGTCACTATTCATGCGTTTGTTTCATACAAATTCCATTGTTTTCTAACTCTTCCTTTCTTGATCTCCCCCCATCTTCTGCTGCCAGACACTACGTTGACACTCACGTCATATACTACTTATAAGTAGCTCGCACCACAGTGTTAGTAGTAGTAGTCATCTCATTCTAAATAATTCTTCACAATTTATTTAGTTGTTGTTTCTTTCTAAAAAATAAGAATTGTACTTGCATAATTTTTTTTTCTTCACAGATAATACAATTCCCTGGTGTACATCCAACTTATCCTGTATTGAATTATTTAATGGATGGATTATTTCTTTGTTTAGATTATTCAGTGAAAAATTTTCTACAACGTTTAAAAGTTAGTTACTAATTGTTTGTTTGCCTTTTGTCTTTGTCATATCATGTAAAAGATGTGTTTGTGCTTAAAACGAAATGAAACGTCATCAGTTGAGGTAGTTGGGACGTGTGTTACATATGCCCAACTGCCGACTGCCTCGAAGAGCGATGTTTTGTGCTGTCGGAGTTGGTGAGAAGAAACTTAGGGTCGGCCAAATTAAAACATGGCAGAAATCCATAGAGGCACTGACAACTGGACTGAAGCATGTTAGTAGATGCAAACTACCTGGTTGGAGTCCGTACGACATCAGTAACCGTTGATTAGAGACGTTGAATGACACGGCTCAAAATTGTTTGCAACGGTACAGGTGTGTAACACGTGTAATCAGCAGTCACTGAAGGGCGGATAGGATCTAAAATCACAACACATCTCACTCCAAGAGAGAAAACGAAGTGTTTGCCACGGCACTCGTTTATTTTTAAAAATTGAAATACGCGGAATCTTACAGAAAAGGGTCGCTATGCTACTAAAGTCCTGAGAGTCATCCTGTGTGTTCAGACCACTCAGGTCTTGCTCTTCAGCTTCCGAAGTGTTAAAGTTTGATCGCCCTGAAATAGAAAGAAAACAGAACAGGTTAGCAACATCATACATGGTGACTTTGATTCTGTTACAGGTGCATCCACTCATTTTGTTCTCTGAAATCCTTGTCTTCTGAATTCTCCTCACCTCTATTTTTGTCTTTCTGAAGTTATCTCACTGAATTATATTTCTTGAATAATATCTTCAAACCATAATCTTCGCCATTGCCGTTAATACTCCTACTACCTCTACCACCATGAGATTTGAACTGACAATTGCATCTCTGTGTGCTAATGTGATATTGGCAACTTGAACTGATGTATGTACCTGTACGAAGTTGTACGTTGTAACTGACTGACTGACTGACTGAAAAATGAGATAATACATGTAAGTGAACAGTAGTATTATTTTCAATCAGATCGTTATCATCAGGCTTTATACTCGCGAAATATTGATGATGAAAATATTAAACCGAATCAAAGCAATTTATGATGAGTCGATAATCACAACGAAGTAAATAGATTACGTACCTAAAAGTTGATAATAGGAAGACAAGGGTACTGATGATAAATTTTAACTTTTAAATGCAAATTTGATGTTAGCAGCCAAGTACTGATACCTCATTGATATTGACATAAATTTCACATTTTACAACACTGACTGTGTTTAGTTAGATAATTATTGTAAACTTGTTGTACTACTGTAAAACTCTTCAGTAGTATGTATACATGACCTGACTGAGTGTTTTGAAATCTCATGTTGGAATGAAAGCATCATGCAGACTCCGTTTTAATACTTGGCTAAAGTCAATTCATAATTCATTACTTGTGATCTATTTATGTTGAACGAAGTAGACAATCTGAACGCAGTTCCATCTTGTCACATCTAATTTAATAATGGTCATAATAGAGATAAGTGTGAATCATTTCAAGTGATTTATCATGTGACTCCATCATTTCCTAATGGAATTCGGCTCTATCTCCTACATTTCGCAGAAGCCATAGAAATTCGATCATTCAACATCAATTCATGTGTTCAGAAGAATTGTGTGACACCACTATCCCTTCCTTGGCCGTGATGTAACCTGATAAACGACTTTACAGCATTGTTATTTCACATCCTGTATGCCCTATTTTTCGCCTCTTTCCATTTATATTCTTCACTATCTAATGATTTACACACTTCTTATTACATCCTCATCGTTTTTAATGTTTTTCTGATGATTACTTCAAGGTTATTTATCCGAACAATTTTACCGAACAATGCAAGCATGTTCGTTATGCGGTTTTCCCACTCGAAATGCAAAATGTTGCTTCAAGATTGGGTTTCATCGGCACCTGAACTAGTGATAGGGAGTGAAGTGGTCGAACATGTAGACTGCTTCACTTATCTTGGGAGTCTCATCAGTGCTGATGGCCTGGTGACTGACGAAATCTCGGCACGGATACGGAAGGCTCGATTGGCTTTTGCCAACCTGCGTCACTTATGGCGTAGGCGAGATATCCGTTTGCTGACTAAAGGACGAGTGTACTGTGCAGTGGTTCGCTCCGTCTTACTTTATGGATGAGAAACATGGCCAATGAGAGTAGAAGATACTCGTCGGTTATTGGTTTTCGATCATAGGTGTCTTCGAAGCATTTCTCGTACATCGTGGGACACCCGAGTGAGCGACGCTGTTATTAGGGGAAACGAGTGGTAGGTAAGAATGGCAGATCAATAGATGAAGTGGTGAAACTTCATCAGTTGAGGTGGTTGGGACATGTGTTGCGTTTGCCCAACCACCGACTGCCTCGTCGAGCTTTGTTTTGTAGTGTAGGAATAGGTTGAAAGAAATCTAGGGGCGGCCAATCCAAAACATGGCAGAAACCCATGAAATAATTGACAAATGGACTTTGCCATGTCGGTAGTTGTCGACTACCTGGTTGGGGTCCGCGAGATGATAATAATCGATGGTTAGAGACCTTGAATGACATGGCTCAAAATCGTTCGCAATGGCGCCGGTGCATTTATTCTTTGTGTTCTCTCAAATCCTCATCTTCTGGATACTTCAACATTTCTAGTTTTGACTTTCTAAACTTATCTCATTGAATCATACTTCTTGAATAGTATCTTCTAATCCTAACCTCTCCGATTACCTCTAATACCTTTACTACCTCTTCTACTTTTGGATTTGAATTGACAATGGCGTCTCAGTGCTGATGTGGTATGGTGACATGAACTGATGTACTTACGTACGAAGTTCTACGTTGCAACTGACTGACTGACTGACTGACTTCTTATTACGTCATAATCGTTTTTTCATGTTTTTGTGATGATTATTTCAAGGTTATTTATCTACATTTGACCTGCTGATATTTTCAATGTTGAACTATTGATAAAATTTTTGCTATCGTATTTTATTATTATTCTTACTACTACTACTATCAGTACACCACTGTCTTCCTAATATCAAGTTGTATTTTTACCTGTTGTGTGTAGAGTTACATAATCTCCATTTTATTGTAATCATTGACTCACAATAAATTGCCTTGATTTGTGGTTTATCATGTGGTTCATTATAAATATTCATGTATGATATTAGAGATTAAAGAGTCTGATGATGGCGATCTAATTGAAAACCAGACAGTATTGTTCGCCTTCGATTTGTGTTGTTCTAAGGTTCACAATGGAAATCTTTAATGTTCTTAAAATATAGAACTATGATTTTGTGTATGTGCGTGTATGTGTGTGTGTTCAAGGTGAGAATTCTCAATGAAACTTACTATAAGGCCCAATGTTATCGTAATGGTTTGACCTAATAATATGAATCCCAGATTTGTAGTTCGTTTATGAATATTGTACTATTGAGTAAGAGATAGTAGTCAGTCATTTACAACGTAGAACTTCGTACAGGTACGTACATCATTTCAGCGACACCAGTTGATAAGACTGAGGCAGGCTCGATAGATTGTATTTAGCAAATTTACACTCTTAGTCAATTAAAAACGAAAACATTACATTGAATACACTCTATTTGCACACCATCTTTGAGTCGTGACTTCCAACACTCCATCCTTCTTCCATTCCTGTTGTTGCTTCCTTTCCTTCCTGTTGGTACTCCATTTACTTCTTCTTGCTTTTGCTCCATTTGCTTTCCGTTTTCCTCTTGTGACCGTGGGACTTCTTCTTTCACGTCCCTTCTTATACTACTTATATCGTTTGTATAAGTAGCACACACCACAGCTATACCACATTAGCACAGAGACGTAATTGTCACATCGAATCCCATAGTGGTAGAAATAGTAGAAGTATTAGCGTTAATAGAGAATAGTTGGGTTCGAAGAAATTATGTAAGAAGTGTAATCTAGTGAAATTAACTTAAGAAGAAAAATACAAAGGTGATGAGGAATTAAAAAGTTTAAGATTTGAGAGAATACAAAGAGTGGATGCACTTGCGCAATAGCAAACGATTTTGAGCCATTTCATTCAATCTCTCTAACCATTGGTGACATACATCTCGCGGACCCCCATCAGGAAGTCTACACTTCTACCAACATGACTCAATCCACTTGTCAGTGACTTCATGGATTTGTACCATGTTTTTAGTTTGACCGCCCTTAGAGCTTGTGGTGCTGTTTGGTTCTCTGAGCTGGATGTTTTAGTTGTGAAGATTTCATTGTTCTTCTACTGAACAACATCATCAGCACAAACTTCAGATAGAGGAAGTGAAGCATTCGAATTTCTCCACGTTTGACCTGTTGATCTTAAATCTGTCGTTGTTTAAGGTTTAAGATCAACATCAACCAATCAAGATGGAGGTTAGCAGAACAAGCTACAGGTCAAACATGGCGAAATTCGAATACTTCACTTCTTCTACTATCTGAAGTTTGTGCTAATGATGATGTTGTTGTTCAGTAGAAGAACAATGATGAAAGCTCCACAACCAAAACATCCGCAGTTCAGAGAACTAAACACCGCCACCACTACAATCATCCACCTGAGCTACAAATGTTCTCCACCAGCCCTTAGAGCTTTATTTCAACCTTTAATGCGGTTGATATAACCTTGTTTGATGATGTAAAATGTATCTTTGAATTTCCCATTTTTTTTAATCCTCTTCTTTCTATATTTTCTTTCCCTACTTCATAGTTTTGTATGTTAGAGCATTATTTAAAAACTCCACATCCTGAATTATTATTTCAATCATCACCTGAATCAATCTATCATTATTTAACATCATTAAACTCTAGTGATTTAGCTCGAATCCTATCGATGGATTATCCTTCATTAACAAATTGTATTTTACATCAAGAATTAAATTCAACTCTTCCTATGAACACTGATTTATCATACTCAACAGAACAAACAACACAGCTATCATCATCGCTGTCGCCGTCTTCCGTGAATAATGATAAATTGATTCATAAAATTATAGAATATTTACAAAATCATTGGAAATTACAATTTCTCATTTCATACATATTGAATTGGTTATTGATTATTATGAAACCAGTATCTGTTCGACCATTGGGTAAACATGTAAGTGTGTGTATGTGTATGTGTGTGTGTGAGACCATTATTGGTTACATTGAATACATTATGATTTTTGACTAGTTGGATGAATGATTGATTCATGATTTTACAAAGACAGACAGACAGACAGATACAACGCAGAACTTCGTACATAAGTACATCAGTTCAGGTTACCATACCACCACAGCACAGAGACGCAACTGTCAGTTGAAATCCAGGAGTGATAGCGATAGTAGAATTATTAACAGTAATGGAGAAGATTAGGGAGTGAAGATATGATTCGAGAAGTATAATTCAGTGAGATAAATTTAGAAAGAGAAAGATAGAGATGATGAGGAGTTCAGAAGGTTAGAATTAGAGAGAAGACAAAGAGTGGATGCATCTGCGCGATTGCAAACAATTCTGAGCCATGTCATTCAAGGTCTCTAACCATCGGTTACTATCGTCTCACAGATCCCAACCTGGTAGTCTACATCTACTAAAATGACTCAGCCCACTTGTCAGTGACTTCATGCATTTCTGCCATGTTTTGGTTTTGGCCGCCCCCAGGCTTTCTTCCAACTTACTCATGCACCACAAAACATAGCTCTGATTTTACAAAACAAAGTATCTCTCCCTCGAATCCTATAATACAAAGTTATCATGTGCTCATTAGTGACTAATAGCTCTGTGCGGAAGTTTTTCCCAGTTCTAGTGAGAAGTCATGACCAATGGAGTTCGGATATACAGCAGTGCTCGCCGAAGACAATGGATAGAATTCGCAAAACCATGCATTGATCAAAGTTATTAAACATTAACGCCGTTGGATGCCAGCTCAATGGTCTAAATGTGTTAGGTTTTAGTGCGCAAGACTGCATCTGCTAACATTGCTACACTGACACGTGTATTAGACCGGTAGGTGAAAGGTTCATGAAATGGGCCCATAAGAATTGCACCTGCTTCTGTTTGGGCAGTATCCCAGTCCATACGCAAATTCAAAACTTTACTAGTGTTATTACTTAACATTGCGAAGCTGATTGTTTCAAATTCAAATACTACAATGGGTTTAGGTACATCTTACCGACAACTAGCCAACTAACATGAAATCTAGGTGCAGGATATTTTACTTACTCATGCTTGTTACCCCCAATGGAGTACAGGCCGCTGACCACCAACATTTTCCAACCTACTCTGTCCTGGGCTTTCCTTTCCAGTTCTGTCCAATTATTGTGCATTCTTCCCATGTCTGTCTCCATTTTTCGACGTAATGTGCTTCTTGGCCTTCCTCTCATCCTTTGGCCTTGAGGATTCCGAATTAGGGCTTGTCTCGTGACTCAGTTGGATGCATCCTGCAGTGTGTGTCCTATCCACTTCCAGCGCTTCCTCCTGATATCTGCCTCAACCGGACGAATCTGGTTTGTTCTCTCCTTCAGTATGTCTCACCAACTACTTTCAATCATTTAGTAGTGTAGTTCGATCACATATCAATCTTTATTAAAAGACGAATAAACTGTACACATAATAAGTCATTCATTGGAAAAAATATACAGTGTTTGTATGCATAATTTTTAATTTCAATTGTTTATTTTATCATTGTTGATCAGAAATACGAAACACCAGTCAGAATTACATCTTGTCACCAAAAGCTGTGAATAATCAGCTCTCCATCGCTTTTAGTCCACAAATCGATAGCTTTCTTGTGCCCTACCCCTACCTACCTCTTAAATAAGAAGTCCACTGACGCAGCCTCCACGAAATTTTCATTCTATTTCAAGCGGCAGGCGTCTAGTTTATATTACCGAACAAATCAGACTATCACATCATACCGTTGGATAAATGAGAAAGTACACTTATACATGGGGGGGGGGAGCTGAAAGTGACCCTGAATAAGGGAGAGTATGTAAATAGTTAGCTAGCAATAGTGTTGGGGATGTTCGATCCCCAGAACTCGCTTGATAAATATCTTTATTTTCTATTTATTTCATGGACCGATCAGTTGACCTTGAGATCACATTTCCCACCAGGAAAATCCTTAGCTGTGATTGGTTACTGTGTTATTTTAGTGTGCTATTTTTGTGACTGTCCCAACGACGTCTCTATAGAGTATAAATAAACGCAATTTGAGTGCTTGGATTGATTGTGTGCTGGCTGGGTGTTTGTAGAATACAATTTCTACACTATATCAAGACTTCTTGCTGATACCTTTTGGTCAAGGGATCACAGTAGCCTACCTGGACGCTGGTTCATTGTTTTGTTCTCGTTATTCGACTAATGTGAACTCGTAATAGTTTTTCAGCATACCTAGAGACGATCGTAACAAATAGATTAGGGAGTATCACATTACACGACAGTATTAGTTAGTGAGTTAGCCAAGAGCTTATAACAAAAGGAATATATACATATGTAGTAATCTAGTTATTACATAAGTATATAATAAGAATATAGGTAATAATTAGTCAGTCAGCAATAACCGTAGAACTTCGTACGTACGTACATCAATTCAGATTGCTATGTCATATTAGCACACAGAGACTCAATTGTCACTTCAAGTCCCGTAGTAGTAGAAGTAGTAAAAGTATTAGCGGTAATGCGGAAGACTAGTGTTCAAAGATGTATAATCCAGGGAAATAAATTTAAGAAAGGCAAAAAACGGTCATAAGGAATTCAGAAAATTAGAATTTGAGAGTATACAATGAATGGATGCTCCTGTGCCATCGCAAATGTTTTTAAGCCATGTCATTCAAGGTCTGTAATCATCGGTTACTGATGTCCTGTGGACTCCAACCAGGTAGTCTACACTTCTACCAACATGATTCAGACAACTTGTCAGTGATTTCATCGATTTGTGTCATGTTTTTGGGTTTGACCGCCCCCAAGCTTTCTTCCGACCTACCCCTACGCCACGAAAACTCGCTCGTCGAGGCTCTCGGTGGCTGGGTATACGTAACACATATCTAAAACATCTCAACTGATGAGGTTTCACTACTTCATCTATTGATTTGCCACTCTAACCTAGTTCTCGTTGCTCCCAGGATATACGGACAATCCTTCTATGACACCTATGATCAAAAACTAGTAATCTACGTTTATCTTTTACTCTTACTGGCGGCCATGTCTCACAGCCATAGAGTAGGACGAAGAGAACTGCTGCACAGTAAACTGATCCATAGTTTATGTAATCCTAAAAGCTACAGCTTCTGTAATCTTCCTTCGAAAGTAGATTAAGATTAAAAGTTTTTTCTTTTTATAACTTTTAACTTCATTAGAAAATTTTTTAAATTCTTATTAATTATTAACTATTAATCTCATATGATGATAAATTTTTTTCTTCTAACAGATTGGAGATTTATATCGTTTATGGTTGAAAAATGGTTTAGTCAATGCAGAAGAATTCAATTTAACAATAAATCTTTTATGGTAAAAAGAAAAATTATTATTTTTTCTCAAACTATTCTCTGCATTGTTTTTTAATACCATGAATCAAACCCAGGAAATTGAGTTTCGCCCGACCGTAGATGCTACCTTGTCGTGATGGTCGGGTTTTCCTATCGTGATGACTCAACCGAGCTTTATTGGCTGGAATATATGTTTCTGAAGGTTCTACCATGCCAGGCAGGTCGATTGGAGATCGATGAGACTAAAAGCGGCAGCAACTCAAGGTCTGGGGGTGAAGTCGTACTGCTGACTGACTGTAGAGGGGTGTGACAGCAGTAAGGCGTTTCCCTCGGATAACCAGCATCTGCAGCGATGCTTTGATACTCCGGTTTTTCTGTTTACACTTCTGTTTATATTTAGTATGTGTTTCTGACGTTTATTTATTTGCTGATATCATGTTTCAGTTTTTGTCTTGACTAGTAAAAATATCAATAATTATAGAGTTATGTTTCTCATTGAATTCGTGAATAAATCATTGTTATATCACTATTGGAAACCAGTAGGTACTGGTCAGCCGCTTCGTCCTGATATGGGGACTCTTCAGCAGTGTGCATCCACGAAACCCGCTCGCGTTGATCGAACCCATTACCTCAAATCTTGCTCATGAACGGTTAACATCTACACCACCGAACCGGCATCCAACCGTTTTATTGCCTAACTTTGATCAATCCATGGATTTTCGAAACTTCACCCATTTGTCTTTGATAGTTACTGTCTATACGTGACACAGTTGATCTCCACTGGTCACGTCTTCTCACTAGAACTCTGAGAATTTCTTCACGAAGAGCTAGTCAATAAAGATCACATTTTGTGAGTTTTCATTATAATGCGGGAATTGTGGATGCATACTGCTGATGAGTCCCATACTAGGATGAAACAACCATCCACTGCTTCCAGGTTCCTGATGGTGGTGGTCTAACAAACTGATTGATTCACAACTTCAATGTCAGAAAAGAATAATGTTGTCTTCGATAACTAGTCTTATTTTCAGATGCCTCAAGAAGTGACATCATACCATGATGTGAACATCTAGAAAAGAACTACCATCCTTATATCTTTCACATTCAAGATTGCTTTGTTTAAAACGAACTCACTTGTTTCAGTTTTACACTTGATAAAATGTCGAATTAATTCATCACTGTTCTTTGATCGTATATTTCTCCAGATGTAGTGCCTCACATACATTTAAGTTTGTTTACGTTTAATTTGGTTAAGCCAGCGTCATTTGTATAGCATCAATAACTTATCTGTACCAGCGGGCTTTTATTATTGTCACATTTTTATGAGTAGGTACCTACCGCCTACACACATATTCATTCTACCCGCTTTGATGTTGGGCCGCTTAAATAATCCGATAACTCATTCATTTTCCTATGTGTATAAATAGGTACATTTTAATCCTGTTCATTTATCCACTCACTCACTCGTTCGCTTGCTCTTCGTCATTCGCATATCATTTTTCACTTCGTATGCCTGTGATTTTGTGATCTGTGTATGGTGCGACAATAAACCTAATCAACACTTCTTATTCGTCTTCTGAGTAGCATACACCGTTGGGCGTCGTTGTCAACTAACGATTATGAAGACGAACAGTATAAAAATTTTAGGTATATTATATCTGTTACGCACGCACGTAAACATGTTATTTGATATGCTTGAACTATTACGAGTTTACCTTAGTCGGAAAACGAGAGCGAGGTTCGAGGATCCGGCGACACGACACGCTACTCTAATCCGAGTGTCCCGAACCCCCATTGATTAAAAGAAGAAGACTTGATATGTAGTAGGACCTGTATTCTACAAGCATCCAGAAAGTACGAGGTCCGAGTCCAGAAGAAGATAAGGATCTCGGACTAGGGATGTGTGTCCGGGTCATAAAACATTACAGATAATGCGTATTTATACAGTTAGGCCGAATGGGAAACGGCATCAAAGTCTGTGATATTGCTAGTTAGAACGACCAATGTGAAACAACACTGAAGTACGTGACATTGATAGCTAGAACGACCATAATATTAACCAGTAGGAATTGATCAGTAGAATTAGTCTTACAAAAATCATTCTCTTAGGATATTTGATGAATATCTTAACAATATCGAAAAGCGACCATCACAGAACTGCTATGAGTCCACATGCACCACATATCCAATTGAAAGCTTTATTCGTGAAGAGCTAGTCAAAAGTTTTCATTTCGTTTTAAAATCTTTCTTTTTTCCCCAAATGATTAATCATCTTTATTTTTTCTCCCTCTCTCTCTCTCTACCCTGTTTTCCTTTTACATGCTTAGTGGAGTGTCTAAAGAACATTTAATGAGCGCTATACATGATGCGTATAATTTTCTTTTAAAAGAATCTTCTTTAATTCAACCGGAAAATTCTACTTTCCTCTGTTGGTCACCATCGATTCTATCAGAAGGTAGAAAATGTTTAGAAAATTTAGCTGAATCAACTCTTTCTTGGTATACAAAATTGTCTATGGGTTGTCAAGGTAAGTTTGTTTGTGTGTGTGTATCTGTGTGTTATGTAAGACAAGTTTTCAGAGTCAGTTAGTCAGTTGGCTACAATGTAGAGCTTCGTATAGGGACATATATAAGTTCAAGTTGTCAAACCACATTAGAACACAGAGAGACGCAATTGTCAATTCAAATCCCATTCTGGCAGATGAAGTAGTAGGAGTAATTGCGATAAATAAAATTATTAGGATTCGAAGAAACCACTCATGAAGTATAAACCAGTGAAATAAATTAAAGAAAGAAATAAGGAAATGTCCTAGGCTCGTAAGGGAATGGTTGCATCTGAGCCATTGCAAACGATTTTGAGCCATGTCACTCAAAGTCCCTAACGATCGATTACTATCATCTCGCGGGCTCCAAGCAGGTAGTTGAGACTTACCAACATGGCTCAGTTCAGTTGTCAGTGACTTCATGGATTTGTACCATGTTTTGGTTTAGCCACCCCTAGGCGTATTCTAACCTATTCCTACACCGTAAAGCAGCTCGACGAGGCAGTCGATGGTTAGGCATACGTAACACATGTCCTAACAACCTCTAATGAAGAAGATTTCATGCTTCATCAATTCATTTGCCATCCTTACCTAGTAGCCTTTTCCTAACACTCTAGTCTTAGTGGTTTAGGAGCTGGGCATTCACACGCGAAACCAACGATCCTGGGTTCGATTCCTGTAAGTATAGGCGAGGGTTCGTGGATGCGCACTGCTGATGAGCAACTCCTATAATTGTACGAAACAACCGTGTTTCAGTGCTTCCGGGATTCTAATGTCAGTCTAACAAGGATTGATTCGTGATTTCAATTCGTTATTTGATTGTGACCGATTTGGTCTCGTGTGCTGTTACGGGTATGAGGGCGGTTATCACTTCGCGGCTGCCTACAACTTGGAAGGTTGTTTCTTGAGGCGCCTGAAAAGGAAGATAGATTAGTGTTGGTCTTAGAGTGTGTTAGCTCCACTCTTGAAAGCCCTTTGTGGGCACCCTTACCACCAGAGACGGAAACCCGTGAGGTAGGGTGAGGTGTGACATTTTTAGGGTCGACCTTTTCTAACCCTTCCTCCCTTGTGAGAAGGCAGCATCGCCGCAGATGCTGGTTGTTCGAGGGAAACACCTCCCAGCTGTCACACCCCTCTGTATTCAGCAGTACGACTTCGCCCTCAGACCTTGAGTTGCTGTTGCTTTTAGTCTCATCGTTCTCCAATCGACCTGCTTGGCATGGTAGAACCTTCAGGAACATATGTTCCAGCCAGTATAGCTCGGTTGGATCATCGCGATAGGCAAGCCCGACCACCATGTCAAGGTAGCAGCTTCCGTTGGGTCAATACGTTATTAGTTGATACTCACTAATTTCACTCATGTCTTATTGATTTTTATTTGCTTTCTTAAATATTTTGAAAAAAAACTCTTTCATTTGTTGTTTATTTCTCTGCCTTCTTGAATTAGAAACATCGTCAGCTGAACAAAAAACAGTACAATCAAATCAAGCATTGTCAATCGATAATAGCGCGTCAACTATGCCTGTTAATAATCATGAGAATAATTCAGTGAAACCGATTGTTGAATTCAGTACAAAAAGAAAAATTAGTTTACGTAATTTACGTCAGGTAAACAATGCACAAGGGGGATGGGGTATGGGTGATATTTATTCCTAATTGACTTAATGCATCGTCATTGCATTTTCTCTGCGTATATGTTGTTCAGCATCTCAGTGTGTGTATGTGTGTGCATGTGCATGTGTGATGAAAGTTTCAAATTGAGCATTAGTTATGTTGATTTTACAACTGGATTTCATTTGGTACCAATTTGGGCACCTAAATATTTATGAATGACGTGAATGATTGGATTTGTGAGTAAGCTTTGGGTATTGCTCGACTGCCCAAATCAAAGCAAATGGGGCACATCCTGAACCTTTCAGGTACAAGTCTAGTCCATAATGCAGTAAAGAAAAGTTTAGACATACAGTCACATGGTGGTAGCTGGCCACCTAATTTAGGTTCATACGCTAAACCGAGTAAGCAAATTTGTCGTTACGAAATGGGTGCTTGGTAAGGATGGCAGGTCAATAGTTTAAGCATTGAAACTTCAACAGTTCAGGTTATTGGGACATGTGTTTCGTATGCCTAACCACCGACTGCCTTGACGAGTGATGTTTTGTGGTGTAGGAGTAGGTTGGAAGTAAGGTAGGGGCGGCCAAACCAAAACATAGCAGAAATCCATTAAGTCACTGACTAGTGGACTGACTCATGTCGGTAGGTGTAGACTTCCTGGTTGAGGCTCGCGAGATGATAGTAATCGATGTATAGAGACCTTGAATGATATTGCTCAAAATCGTTTGCAATGGCACAAGTGCATCCACTTTTTGTGTTCTCCCGGATGCTGATCTTCTGAATTCCTTATCACCTCTATCTTTTCCTTTCTTAAGTTATCTCACTGAATTATATTTCTTGAGTAATATCTTTGGACCCTAATCTTTCCGATTACCACTATTACTTCTACTATCTCTACCACTATTGGATTTGAAGTGACAGTTGCGTCTTTGTATTAATGTGGTATGGCAACCTGAACGGATGTACGTACGTACGAAGTTCTACGTTGCTGTTGTTGTTTGTTTTGCAACCGAATTTATATCTTTGATTGTCTACACGCTGTTGTGTTCTTTGCACTTATGTGGATAATTTTATAGTTGTCTATGATTTACTTAATTAAATACTTAAACATGGGGCATCTAAATCATTGAATTTGTGTGTTAGACGACTGCGATGCTGTCTGTGTTACCGTGTGGTGGTGTTTCGTTCTCTGAGCTGCGGATGTTTTGGTTGTAGAGCTTTATGTTCTGTTAACCGGTTTTGATTGTATCCCACTTTTGATCTGTTTCTTGATCCTATGTTTGCCTATGATTTCCCTGATTGGTTGATAAATTAGGTCAATGTAGATATGTTTGTTAATTGCTGATTGACCTGAGTGCCAAGCTTCTAAAAATTCTCTAGTGTTCTTTGTCCTCGCCCTATCCAGTATTTTCACTTTGTTCCAGTTGAACGTTTGTCCATAATTGTCCGTATGTTCTGATATAAGCGAAGCGTTGTCGTGGCGTTTGACTGCTAATTGGTGTTCACGTAAACGAAGCTGAAGAAGCCGTCCACTTTGTCCTATGTATTGTTTTTCACAGTCTGAGATTTTGGATTATTTCTTAGAGTGTTTAGACTATTACATAAGCAACTTTAGAAACTAGGAAGCAGATCGTTTTACTAGATGTAGAAAAAAAGTATAAGTCTTGTAAATAAATTAGCGGGACAAAAATTTGAATTCGCGCATAAACCAAAACCATCAATTCATCCAATTTTATGCAGATCAAAAGATGCAACAGAGCCGCAAATTGCTTGTTACAGTTGAGATTGGAGAGAGTCTTCACTCCCTCTTCAAACGGCTCTCACTTAGTTATGACTATCTAGACCCTGACAAACATCTCCTAGTCACTAGATTCTTTTGAAGTCGGTAAAACAATAAGTGGATCCCTGATCGATGCCTAAATCGGATTGGTGGCTACGAAGGATCTATCTAGTAGGGGAGTTGAAACAACCCTCATTTTACACCGATGGTGCAACTTTCTGACGGAACAGATGGAGTATGAAGTATAAACCGGTTGTTGGTCACTAACTACCGTTTGACTGCATCTCTCAACACTTCCTGACTATCATGTTGATGATACTTTTTGGTCGAAGGCTTGGAGTGTGTGTCCTTCTAAGAACACTGCCTGCTTTAGTTTGGACAACTGCATAGTATCCTAGTCATTCAACACCCACACAAATTCAATGATTTATATGATACAAATGTATATTTCAATGCTCCTTCGTAATAATAATAATAATTTTTTTCAATTAGAGTTATATAGACTAGTCTTTTTACACATTGAAATCATCAACCAATCATTGTTAGACCACCATTAGAAACCTGGAAGCACAGAAAGACAGCCGTTTCGTCTTGATATAAGACTAGCTCATTAGCAGTGCACATCCACCACTACTGCACCTCGCAGGATTCGAACACAGGACCTGAGTCATGTCGGTAGACTTAGGCTACCTGATCGGGGTCCGCGAGACAAAAGTAACCGATGTTTAGAGACGTTGAATTATACGGCTCAAAATCGTTTGCAATGGCACAAGTGTATCAACTTTTTGTGTTCTCCCGGATGCTAATCTTCTGAATTCCTTATCACCTCTATCTTCCCCTTTCTTAAGTTATTTCACTGAATTATATTTCTCGAATAATATCTTCGAACCCTAATCTTTCCGATTATCACTATGGGATTTAAAGTGACAGTTGCGTCTTTGTATTAATGTGGTATGGCAACCTGAACGGATGTACGTACGTACGTACGAAGCTCTACGTTTTAACTGATTGACTGACTGGCCCAGGATCTTCCGTCTTCACGTCAACAATCATTTATTGATTATTTCAATGTGTATAAACACTAATCTCCATAACCCTAACTGAAAAAAAATCATTAAATGTGCTCCACAGTTTCTAGCTTCGTGAGGAAATTCTCGGAGTTCTAGTGCGAAGATGTGACCAGTGGAGTTTAACTCTGTCAGTTGTAGGCAGTATCTTCTGAAGACAAATGGATGAGGTCGCTCAAAATCTCTAGATTGATCAGAGTTAGACATTAACACCGTTGAATGCTGACTCAATAGTGGTCCAGAGGTTAGGCATTCACGCGCAAGACCGGAATTCCTGGATTCGAGTCCTGCGAGTTTCAGGAGTCGTCGATAAGTCCCACACCAGGACGAAACGGTCGTCCAGTGCTTCCAGGTTTCTAATGGTGGTCTAAAAATGATTGATTAGTGATTTGAAAATGTATTAATGATAATAATGATAAAATAAAGCAAATCTCTAACTCATTTTACTCTAATCAAGTGAACAGCGATCGATGAGCTTGACCATTACCACTAAATCAAGCAACTATCATCTCTATACTCACTTAATCAGGCTATTAATTTCTGTATGCTTTGATTTTTTCCTGTTGTTTTGTTATTTCTAATCGTTTTCTTTCAAAAAATCTTTCATTATCCTCAAAAAATAAAGCATTTACAAGAATACGCAACCTCTTCACCGAATCGTCCTTTATCGGCTATCACTGCAGCAGCAGCAGCAACCAAAACAACAACTCCAACTACAACGGCGACTGAAACTACACCAACTGTACAACAACAAACTCATTGGGATAAATTAATACGTAAAGAATTTTTTCAATGGTTACAAATGAAATTGACTGAATTCATTCCATCCTATCATGAATTACCATTGTATGAAATATTCTATGGTCCTTTTGTTATGAAAGAAAATGATTCAACACATCAGTCATCATGCAATACACATTCTCAATTAGCATTATCTATACGACGTCGATTGAATCCATCATTCCAGGGTTGTTTACATAAAGCACTTGTTAATCCTGGTGTATATTTACAGGTTTGTATGTTTGTTTCTCCTGTCTTTCGGTTAATGATTTATATTTAGTTTTTGGAGATTGTGGTTGATTTACATTTGAACGTTCACCAGCACAGCCGACAAAAAATGATAATCTGAGAAAAATAACAACTCAGATGGATGATTGTAGTGGTGTTTCATTCTCTGAGCTGCGGATGTTTTAGTTGTGGAGCTTTCATCATTGTTCTTCTACTGAACATCATCATCGTCAGCAGCACAAACTTCAGGTATGGAAGAAATGAAGTATTCGAATTTCTCCACGTTTGACAGTGTAGAAATACTGGATAGGGGGAGCACAAAGAACACTAGAGAATTTTTAGAAGCTTGGCACTCAGGTCATTATTCAACAATCAACAAACACATCGACACTGACCCAATTTATCAACTAATCAATAAATCATAGTAAAACATAGGATCAAGAAACAGATCAAAAGGGGGATGCAATCAAAACAAGGGTTCAAACAACGATAAGTTTAAGGTCAACAGAAAAAGCTACGGGTCAAACATGGAGAAATTCGATGACTTCACTTCTTCTATACCTGAAGTTTGTGCTGATGATGATGTTGTTTAGTAGAAGAACAATGAAGGTTCCACAACCAAAGCATCCGCAGTTCAGAGGACGAAAAAACCACGAAAACGCAAAGTGAATTCACATAACATCTCATTATAATAGGTGTACATCATGAATCGATCTTAATTAGACCAGCAAGTACTAGGCTGTGATTACTTTCTAATTCATAGGACTCTTCAGCAATATGTACAAAACTTGTTCTATGTCATAGTAAGCATTGTAATGTTTATGTCTAGTCTTTGATGTTGATCAAACTATATTATACCTGATGAAGAACTATTAAATGTTTCAACACATTGATATAATGTATCAATCATTGTGAGACCATCATTAGAAATCCTGAAAGCACAAACATATTACGAGTTCACCTTAATCGGTAAACGAGAGTGAAGACAAATAATCCAGTGACATGATAGGCTACTCTAATCCCAGCGTCTCAAGGCTACACTAAGTAGAAGAAAGAAGTTTTGATATGGCGTAGAAAGTGTATTCTACAAGCACCCAGAAAATCGAGCTTATTTATACATGATAGAAATGTCCTTGGGAGAGTCACAAAAACAGCGTAATGTAATCTCAAGGTCAACTGATCAGTCCATGCGCGAAAGTATAAAATCCAAAATTACGACCTTGAGATCTAACATCCCCAAAACATAAATTTATGTAAGCAGACAAACATTAAAGGGTCGTGTAGCAGAGAAGGCGATTTAGGCCAAGTCAATGTGATGCAGCATGTTTTATAGTCAGACAAAAAATTAACTAAAGACATGTGATATACAAAAGTTACACATTTTTGAAGCCATGAATCGATCAATGTTAGATCACCATTAGAAACCTGGAAGCACTGGACGACCGTTTTGTCCTGGTATGGGACTCCTCAGTATAACATTGATCGATTCATGGCTTCAAAAATGTGTAACTTAACAATCTTCACAACCCCGTAATGCATATACAAAAGTAACCTAAAGTTATAAACGAATAATGAATTAGATAGAAAAATCTGATGCGAATAGAATGATTAGTAGTTTTACCCTAGTCAGTCAGTCATTTACAACGTAGAACTTCGTACGTATGTACATCAGTTCAAATTGCCATACTGCATTAGCACAGAAACTCAGCTGTCAGTTTAAATCCAAGAGTGATAGCGATAGTAGAAGTAGTTTTCCCCCTAACAGCTAGAATAAGTCATGTATGTTGACTTGTCCTATTATAGTTCACACACATCTCTCCGATTACTGCTAATCCTTTTACTACTACTACTGCATGGAGGACATCTGACAGACTCGTTCGAGGTGAAGATCGGTGTCAGAAAATGTTGCTTACTCTCACCCTTTCTATTTCTCCTGGTGAACGACTGGATTATGAAGACGTCGACATCTGGAGGGAAGCACGGTATCCAATGGACAGCCAGGATGCAGCTAGACAATATGGACTTCATAGATGACCTGGCTTTTCTATCTCACGCGCAATAACAAATGCATGAGAAGACGATCAGTGTAGCAGCTTTCTTAGCGGCAGTAGGTCTCAACATACATAAACGAAAAAGCGAAATTCTACGATGGAACACAACATGAGTTAACCAAATCACTCTTGATGGAAATGCATTGGAGGACATTAACACCTTTACATATCTGGGCAGCATCATCGACGAGAAAGGTGGATGCGATGCAGATGTGAGGGTGCGGATTGGCAAAGCAAGGGCTGCATTTCTACAGTTGAAAAATATCTGGAACTCCAAACAACTTTCAACCAAAACCAAAATCAGGATTTTCAATACAAATGTCAAGACAGTTCTACTGTATGGAGCGGAAACCTGGAGAACTACGAAAGGCATCATCCAGAAGATACAAGTGTTTATTAACAGCTGTCTACGCAAAATACTTCGGATTCGTTGGCCAGACACCATCAGCAACAACGAACTGTGGGAGAGAACAAACCAGATTCCAGTGGAGGAGGAAATCAGGAAGAAGCCCTGGAAATGGATGGGACACATATTGCGGAAAGCACCTAACTGCGTCACATGAAAAACCATCACTTGGAACCTTCAAGGTCAAAGGAAAAGAGGAAGGCTAGGGAATATATTACGCCGAGAAACGGAGACAGTCATGAGAGGAATGAACAAAAACTGGACAGAACTGAAGAAGGGTGCCCAGGACAGAGTTGGTTGGAGAGAACTGGTGGTCGGCCTATGCTCCTCCATTGGGGGTAACAGGCGTAACTAAGTAAGTAAGTACTACTATGGAATTGGAATGGACAATTGCATCTCTTTGTGGGTAATGTGCTATGTGGCAACTTAAACACTGATTTGTGTACGTACATACGAAGTTCTACGTTGCTGTTGATTGATTGATTTATTGATTGATAGTTCACACACGCACACACTCACACTACAATCATTTTAATTAATTCCCTCTCTTTCTCTTGTCTTTTCTTTGTCTTATTTGTCCAAAATTCCTATTTCGCATGTGTGTGTATATGTATGGGCGAATGTTTTTATTTAGATTGCTGAATTGAAACTATCAAATTCCAATAGTTTTTCACCGAAACTATTCGATTTATGCATTTTGTATAAATTATTAATGGAAACAACCAAAATGGTCAATTTATACGATTGGCTTATGGTAAGTAATTGAGTAATAAAGTGGATGTGTTTCTTGTTTTTTTTGTGAATTAAACTTCTTTGTGTCAGGTCCTAGTGTAGTGAATGAGAACACAGGTGGGGCAACCGAATTGTATTTAACGAAAATTACAGAGTTACTCAGTAAAATTGGAAAACCATATCGTAAATTGTTAATTTGCAAAATATCAGTTCATCATATCGAACTGGACTGTTCCTGTTGCAAAACATCAATCCATTGTCACTATTCATGCGTTTCATACAAATTCCATTGTTTTTTAACTCTTCCTTTCTTGATCTTCACCAACCATCTTCTGCTGCCAGACATTACGTTGACACTCACGTCATATACTACTTATAAGTAGCTCACACCACATTAGCACAACTTAGTGATTTCACTAGATTCTACTTTATGAATAATAATATTGTCGAAGCCTAATCTCTCTCTTTGATATTACTGCTAATACTTTTACTACACCTCTCTACACTACTATGGGATTTGAAGTGATAATTGCGGCTCTGGGTGCTAATATGTAGTATGTGGCAACTTGAACACTGATGTACGTACGTACGAAGTTCTATGTTGTTGTTGTCTGACTGACTGACACACAATCTGGCGAACGATGATGTCTGGTGTAGGAGTAGTAGGTTGTGGTAGAAAGCTAGCGGCGACTAGATCAAGTCGATGAAGTCACTGACAAATGGACTGTGTCAAGTTTATAGAGGTGTAGACTATCTGATTGAGTTCCTCGAGATGATAGTGTGGTGTTATATGAGAGGATCTTCACAGAGAGAGAGAGAGAGAGAGAGAGAGTGAACTATCTTTACTGGGAATCATTCAAACCGGCATCTCACCTTTTTGTCATTATTATTGAAATTAGTATGAAATTAATTTTAGTTTAATTTCTAACATATCTGTAATTAAAACCCGAAAAAAAACATATTTACTTGAATTGTTTGTTCTGGTTAACGTTGTTTTTTTTTTGTTAGCAAGTTGATTTTTCACAAGATGAGGTCACTAACCCCCCAATAACTGAACCTCTTCCTTTGTCCTGGGCTTAGGGCCTTCAGTAACACTACAAGAACTGTAGGTGGAGTTTTGAAATACATTTTACTCTACACTCATATGTCATTAAGAACCTGTTCAACTACTTGCTAATATCTTACACGGTGTCGGCATCTGGGAAGTGACATCCACCCTCATACTCGTACTAGCACACGAGCGACTAAATCGGTCACAAACAAATCCTTCCCGTACCCCCTAATACCTCTCTTATATCCACGACTCACTCTTACATTCCTTTGTCACACTGCACCGCTAATGCAGACGAAGTGAGTTCACGAAACGTCATTCCTGGTCTCTTGAAACCCCGTTCTAGACTTCATGTTGGAGCATTTAATGTACGTATATTATGTCAAATAGGGCAACAATCTTTCTTAGATAGGAATTTAGAATCTCGCTCAATCGATGTCTGCTGCGTTTCGGAGACGCGCATGCAGGATCCTAGTAAAATCATTAATTTGATTTGATCTTATCAAAACATAGAAGCAGCTCGATTTACTCTTCGTGTATCCGGTAGCCCTGATGCTGCTTTCAGGGGTCTTGCTGGTGTAGGCATAGCATTGAGTTGTAGGGCAGAACTAGCGCTCCTAGACTGGATCCCAGTAGATGGTCGCATGTGCGCTGTAAAAAAGAACGGGACAGTAAGGACTCGGAAAGACGGACACCCGTCGTTGCCTCTTCGTCTTATCTGTGTACGCCCCCACTGACTGCAGTTCAGACGTGGTGAAAGATGAGTTCTACAGAAAGCTTGTCAATATTACCATATTTATAATTCATAAAACTGTACTACCCTGTATAGCATTCATCATCCAGTTGGCTTAATGAAATTTAATCCAAGCTGTCACCGATATTTTTTTTCATACATAAAATGTTTCTTCATTTATCTCTTTTTTATTAAAAGGCATTTGCAACTATACTAGGCGAAGCGGTTGATACGCAAAATCCTCCATCACAAGAGATTCAGTAAGTGAACTTTTCTATTACATATAAAAATATAGAACCAAAACTATCAACAAGTGATTTTAAGCTTCAATTTGAGAATTATTTTAGATGCACAGTGTCAGTAAAGGATAATTTAATAGTTTACTGAGAACTTTTTTTGTCGAAATTAGGTGGTCAAACCAAAAATGTGGCACAAATCCATGAAGTCACTGACAAGTGGACTGAGACTTGTTGGTATGTGTAGAATACCTGGTTAGGGTACGCGAGATGATAATAATAGATGGTTATGGGCCCTGAGTGACATGGCTCAAAATCGTTTGCAATGGCACAAATGCACCCATCCCCTTTGTCTTCTCTCAAATTCTAATCTCTTCTGAATTCCTCATCATCTTTATCTTCATTTCATTGGATTGTACTTCTTGAATAATATCTTCGGAACCTAATCTTTTTGATAAGCGCAAATACTTCTACTACAATCTACCTCTATGGAATTAGAACTGGCAATTCGATCTGTGTATGCTAATGTGGTACGTCAACTTGAACTGATGTATGTACGTACTTTCGAAGTTCTACGTTGTTGCTGACTGACTAACTTCCGTCAAAATTAATTATCTTGTTATAAGCCAGTTAGAATTTTTGTTTTAGGCATTTTTCAGCGCTATGTAATCAGATGTGCATTCACACTGTTATCGAAACGAATCTGATTCGATATGAATTGGACGAGTTAGGAAATGGCCTACTGATACCTATTTCCCATTCACATTTATTGATGTCAATTATTGTATAGCTACATATAGGTATTTCAGTAGTGTAAATTGTTTTACTCAATAAATTCGGAATAAAACGAAATTTTTCATCAAGTTAATCATAGATATTTTTAAGTCAATGAGTTAATATACATTTTGTAGGATAATAATTTCCTGATGCTCTAATTTAGCGATATAATCTACAAAGCAACCAGAGAAGATTCAGTTTTATGGTAATTGATGACCGAAAAATGGATACATAAGCCATTTATTCTTGAATGATTCTGAGGCTTTTGTATAGAATTTAGAGTTTCCCAATTAATCTAGATGATTTTCTCTATGCCTACAAAGTCGATTTAAGCTCGGAATACTGTCTTTGTTTTACCCAAACATCCTTGGCACGTTTAGGGTAGTGTGGGTGTTGTACCTTTCGGTCAGTGTGCAAGATTCAACTCTCTCAGCGTAATTAGGAAAATCATAATTCTGTTAACATGAACGTTTATTATTGCTGGATTACTGATTAGTCTGAACTATTCACATATTGAATATGTACGTATATGTTGTTGTTATAACATTATCTTCGTCTGAATTTTCAAGACTACACCTTCTACCAGGAGGCTCGCTTATTGACTTAGAATATGCCAATGACATAGTTCTTTTCGGTGAAGACGCTGACAAAATGCAGAGTCTTCTGACTACCCTAAGCAACAATGCAAACATGTTTGCGATGCGGTTTTCCCCCTCGAAATGCAAAATGTTGCTTCAAGACTGGGTTGCATTGGTACCTGAACTAATGATAGGGAGTGAATTAGTCGAGTGTGTTGATCACTTCACTTATCTTGGGAGTCTCATCAGTGCCGATGGCCTGATGACTGACGAAATCCCAGCTCGGATACAGAAGGCTCGATTGGCTTTTGCCAACCTGCGTCATGTATGGCGTAGACGAGATGTCCATTTGCTAACTGAAGGATAAGTTCGCTTTTCAGTAGTTCTCTCCGTCCTACACTATAGCTGTAAAACATGGCCAGTTTGGACAATAGATATTCGTCGGCTGTCGGTATTCGCTGATAGGTGTCTCCAAACCCTAATCTTCTCCGTTACTGCTACTATTTCTTCTATCTCTACCACCATGGGATTTGAACGGACAGTTTGATCTCTCTCTCTGTGCTAATATATGTTATAACAAGCTGAACTAATTGATGTACGTACATGTATGAAATTCTATGTTGTAACTGACTGACATATAATATTTTATGTACTCAATGTCTTTAACTTTTTTCTTCTGTTTTCTCTCTTATCAGATGTCGTTTTTTACAAGGACTAGCTGAATTACAATATTTAGGTTGTATTAAATCAACTCGTCGTAAATTAGATCATGTTATACGTTTGACATGGATTTCTAATCTTGTATAAAAGCATCATGTTCATTGGGTGGTTTTTTTTTTTTGAATTCTTTTCTCTTAACAAATAACATCAACATGAGAATAGAATGCATCATTATTTATTACATATATATATATATATTTAACAGTCTTATCTATTTTTTTTTCTAACAAAAAAATGAGATGTACTTGAGAAAAGAAAATGCATTTTACAATGTTGTTGCCTATTTATTCTCTCATTCATTCACTCACTCACTCGCACACACAATTGAGCTATTTTTTTATATTTGTAAACATTTTCTACTGATTAAACAATATAAGTAGTCAATGTGTGTTTTTGTTCAAAATTTGATCATTTATAATTGAAAGTTGATTATTTTTAATTATTTGTTAGATGAATTCAATGTGAGGTATTGTGTCATATTGTACACATGAATCATTGCCTAAGGATTCATTTTGATTGACAATTCATTGGTAGCTACTGAAGAAAAGATTTTTTTTCAGAGGTTTATGAGTTCAACTATTCCATTTTAGTGTCATATGCATTTTTTTTACTCAACTACTAAGATTGAAATTAAAAAATGGAAACAGTTTCTAATGATTACGTTAATCATTTTTGTTGTTGATGGGATTAAATTTCAAAGGTCTGATGTATGTGGAGTTTACTCTTTGTCTTTATTATATCAAGATAATCCGACCGAAGCTGCTACCTTGCCTATCCTCATGACCCAACCGAGCTATATTGGCTGGAACTTATGTTTCTGAAGGTTCTACCATGCCAGGCAGGTCGATTGGAGAACGATGAGACTAAAACCATCTACTCAACGTCTGAGGGCGAAGTCGTACTGCTGACTACCAGAGAGGGGTGTGATAGCAGTAAGATGTAGCCCTCGGACAACCAGCATCTGCAGCGATGCTGCCTTCTCACAAGGAAGGAAGGGTTAGAAAAGGTCGATCCTAACAATGTCACACCTCACTCTACCTGACGGATTTCCGTCTCCAGCCGTAGGGTGCCCACTAAGGGCTTTCAAGTGCGGAGCTATTACTCAAAAAACTCATGAAAAGGCCGTGCGTGACCGGCCTCAAGCAGTTGTCCCTTGGACTCTGTGGTTACGCAACCAGGTCTCTAAGACCAACACTAATCTACCTTCTTTTTCAGGTCCCTCAAGAAACAACCTTCCAAGTTGTGGGCAGCCGGGAAGTGACAACCGCCCTCATACCCGTAACAGCACACCAGACCAAATTGGTCAAAATCAAAAATCAAGATAATTGTATTAAAAATAAGTTTTATTTTATTTCTAATTTCGTTTACATGAAAAGATGGTGGAGATTGTTCAATATTAGATCACTGTTAGAAACTATTACGCATGCACTTAAACATGTTGTTTGGTATGCTTGAACTATTAACAGTTTATCTTAGTCGGAAAACGAGAGCGAGGGTCCGGCGACACAGCATGTTACTCTAATCCGTGTGTCCCAACCCACATTGATTGAAAAAAGAAGACTTGATATGTAGTAGAACCTGTATTTTACAAGAATCCAGAAAGTATGAGGTCCGAGTCGAGAAGGGAATCAGGATCCTAGTCCGTGTCATCAAACCTTACAGAAACGTATGAGCACTGGACAGACGTTTCTACCAAGTATGGGTCTCATCAGGCATCCACGAATCCTGCAACTCGCAGGATTCGAACGCAGAACGGTCGGTATTACACTTAAACGCCTAACCTCTACATCACTGAGCTAAGTATCGTCGATTCGAGTCTTGTGAGTTGCAGAGGTCGTTCATGCGCACTTTTGATGATGGACGAAATGGCCATCCAGTGCTTTCAGGTTTTTAACCAACTTTTATTGAGCACCTTCAAAAATTCTTTATATTTACAATAGTGTTTGTTGATGGCAATCAAGGTTTTGTTCACAATAAAGAGTAAATGATCAATCAACACGACTCAGTTTTACTAATATTGAGACATTTTAGTTTTGTACTGATTTATTTTACGTCTTCTAAATATCTGTTCATTTGAAAGAGATTGAGAGAGAGAGAGAGAGCCAGAGACAGCGATTATTTCAATTATTCAATCTTTTTTAGCACTGATCCATGGCATATGATCAATTGTTCAATATTGCAACTATTCATTGGACACATTTCCAAAATGTCTCAAACAAACCGATACATTAGCAATTCCCACACATATCCACTACAGTCAGTTAGTTACAATGTAGAACTTCGTACAGGTACGTATGTCAGTTCAGGTTGCCACATAGTATTAGCACAGAGACGCAATAGTCGATTCAAATCCTATAGTGGTAGAGATACTAGAACTATTAACAGTAATGGAGAAGATTAACGTTGGAAGATATGATTCAAGAAGTATAGTTCAGTGAGATAAATTTAGAAAGAGAAAGATCGAGGTGATAACAAATTCAGAAGGTTAGAGTTTGAGAAAACACAAAGTGGTGGATGCACCTGCTCCACTGCAAACGATTTTGAGCCATGTCATTCAAGGTCTCTAACCATCGGTTAGTGTCGTATCGCGGACCCCAACCAAGTAGTGTACATCTACCAACATGACTCAATCCACTTGTTAGTGATTTCATGGATTTGTGTCATGTTTTGGTTTGCCCGTCCCACCCACATATTCACTACACATTTCATCAGTAACTGACAATCAACTACAACGCATCTATAACAGATTGATCAACACAATTTTGATAACCAACATTTAAATTTGCTCATTCATTTTTTCGATTTCAAGAACAACTGTTATTGTCATTATTTTCTCCAACTTATTCAAACAAACGTGCAAAGAAAAAAAACGAATCACATTTCTGTTACATTTTTATTCTCTCATTCATTCATTCATTTCCAAACTTCCTGCTTCTTCTCGTTCTCTTCTTCTTTTGTCTCATTGTTCGCTTCATCAACCACAAAAAACACACAACTATAAGGAAATTGAAGCAAGAATGCCACAAAAATCAGACAAATCAATATGCTTATTGAAGATTGAACAAACTTATAACAATCATCTCTCTCTCTCGTTTCATTTTGTATGCACGCTTGCATGAATTTCCTCTTTCTTCTTATTATTTGTGTGTGTGTGTGTGTGTGTAAATGTGGTGGTTTATCGTTTTTATTTCATCTCGACTGTTGTTTATATGCGAAAAAATATATATATTTATATATCAATGTACAATAAACTTAACAAATTTCTACATGGTTAATTCCATTATAAACCATAGATTTGTAATGATACTTTGTGATAGTATTAGTAGTATTATTATTAGTAGTAGTATTAGCAATAGTAATATCCGATTTGTTAACAAGTTCGTCAATAAATTTTCTCTCTAACTAACTGATTAATCTATGTTCATTTATTTTCTTGTCCACTTGTTTACAGTGTGGTGGACATATATACTTACGAATATATATATATATATATATATATATATATATATATATATATATATATATATATATATATATATATATATATATATATATATATATATATATATATATGCATTTATTGCTAAAAAACATATCTAATATCTGTACTGTATACAACTAACTATTATGCTGTCTCCCTGTTATTTCATCGATTAGGAAGTGTATATGAGTTCATTAACTGTATAGTAATCTGTTTTTTTTTTCATTCTCAGGACGTGTTGTCTGTTTGTTTGTTGCATAATCCCATCGTTCATTGTATGATTGACAAGTTTATCAACTATGTTCATGTATAAATAACATAGACAATTCGTTTACGCATTGAATTCTCTTGAGGGTTGAGCAGATCGAAAGAGACTTGCGTACGTACGTACGTGTGTGTGTGTATGGGTTGTATGGGAACAATTCTCTCGTGAAAAATCTTCTTTCCTGTATATAATAAGCTTTGAATATGCATAAATTACGAGAATCAATAGACTTACTTGTCCTTCTTGTCCTTGGTTCGAATGATAATATCACGATTGATAAGAAAGAACATGTTGCTCCAACTTTGTTTTTTTTTCAAACTTTTCATCTAAATTTAACTGAAAGCATAAAATGAATAATGTGTTGATAATATAAAATTCCCTAAATGAAAAAAAAATTGTACAAGTTACTTGCTAGTAGTGACTGATCAGCTTCTTATGAGGTAAATTCTTGAAGTTCTTAATGAGACGATATTATTAGTGGAGTTCAACTCTGTTTGGGTGTAGTAGGTAGTAACCAGCAGAGACAAATGGGTGAGGTTGTACAAAATCCTCTAGATTGATCAGAGTAGGACATTCACATCTTTGATGCTAGCTCAGTGGTAGTCCTGAGGTTCAAAGTTCGTGCGCGAAAATGAAGGTCGTGGGTACGAGTCCTGCGGGTAGTAGGTATCGTGAATGTGCACTGCTGATGAGCTAGTCCCATGTGAGGACTTGCTGATGGTCTAACAATGATTAATTCATGATTTCGGCAATGTTACTCATCATCATGGTGCTTTGGTTTCGCTCATTTTATTTCGTAAACTATGACTATTTGAAGTGAATAATTCAAATGTGTAATTGAGAATCAGTCGATCAATAGCAACTTAGAAGTTTGTACGTACGTACGTACATCAGTTCAAGTTGCTAATTTAGGGTTCGTCACTGGGTAGGCTTGAAGCTATCACGAGTTCACCTTAGTCGATAAACGCGAACGAGACAATTACTAGCGTCTAGATAGGCTACCTTGAATCCCAAACTGAAGATAGAAGACTTTGTAAGCGTAGATAGTATATTCTACAATCACCCAGCAATCACAATACAATCAAGCACACAACTCTCGTTTACTTAAACATCATAGAAATGTTCTTGGGACAGTTACGAAAATAGCACACTAAAATACACAGCAGCCAATCACAGCCATGGATTTTCTTGGTGGGAAATGAAATCTCGAGTTCAACTTATCAACCCATGCTGGCAAACGTAAAATTCAAGATAAGCCATTTAACAAGCGAGTTTTGGGGATCTAACATCCCCAACACTATAGCACATTAGCACAGAGATGTAATTATCGATTCAAATCCCATAGTGTTAGTAGAAGCATTAGCAGTAATCAGAAAGATTAGGATTCGAAGATACTATTCAAGAAGTAGAATCTAGTGAAATAAACTTAACAAA